CAATAAGGTTTATATATTTGACAGGTTATTTTCTAAAAAGGTTTATTACTTCTGTAATGTCAACAGAAGCCAGAGAAGCAGAGCACTGAAGCAGTGGGAGGAGAGAGGGCGGGAAATTAATATCGGACATGTCTTTTACATCGTCATGAATATTTCAGTCGACAGGGGACATGGACGCAAGTCGTCACGGAACACCATGTAAGCTCGGCAAAGAAAGGCTTGGATAAATCCGAACGTTGTCATACTGGTTTACTCATTTCTTTGTATTGTTATACTGTTCCTGATGAAAAATTCATAGAGAGCAGTTCAGAAATGCGAACAGTGCACTCTACAGGCTGGTTTTGAAAATTGCCTTATCGACACTAGCTTCGCCTCACCCGTTGCTTGAAATCAGTCCCATTTTACGTTGAATGTGTGTTAAAGAGATATTTCACAGCATCTGTGATATTTTAGCACGAGATTTGTCAGAAACGCGAAAATTCTTGCACTTGGCTTCCAGCTACGCCTAAAAGTCATATATCTGCCTTCATCAAAACGTTTCTAAACTGGATCTGTCGTAAGAAGGAGAATAGTTGTATAGTATATCTATGTTTTACGTAATTCGTGTTCATTAAACCGTGTTAGGATAAGTATTGCTGCTTCATTTCCTTATGGCACATAATATTTTTCATACAAGGAAATAGATAGAATTGTATAACCAGGAGGTTCATGTTAGGAATGCTGGATATTTCCTGAAAATAGTTGGGACTCTTAAAGTAAGGTTGGTATGATATTGTGTAGTGAGAGTTCTGAGCCTTTCCAGTTCATATTTCTTTCTTATGAATTACACAGAGTATCGCTACGAAATTTATCTTGACTTCAATTTCGTTTGAAAATCACATATGTTAGTATATTTCGTTTTAATTATAGATCATTCAGAATAGATCCATATTCTCAGTTATCGGCACATTTGCTTCGCATTTCGTCAGTTTGTTTTATTCTGTCCAATTATTAATCCATTTATTTCAGGCATATGATGGAGTACGTTTTCCAGTGAGCACGTAATAATTTATTCAAACTTATGTCAAATTCCCATGAAGTGCGTATCCATGTGTCTCGTTTTTTGACACTAAGAACCGCGCAGTATACGGGATGCCGGATATGAGGTTGGTTGTAACCGATACTTATAATTATGTATTCGCTGGAACATAAATTACATTCATGACACAAAAACTTCTGAACAGTCTCATTATTATATAAAACTTTAAAATCTATTCGAATTTTGTTCCTGAAGAAAAGTATTTCAGACGTTGTTTAATGCTGAATTATTATGGAAGAGTCCTCAGAAGCCAACCATCCAGAATTAAACTATCGATCTGAGATATTAGGTCTATTAAACATAAGAAGATCGGTGATTCTGTAAAAGTTTGTGTCTGGGTATATATCATATGTTATGAATACATTTCCTCTTCGTACAGACATGCATATATTTATGGTATAATAAAGCTCAGTGTTTACTGTATCCTGTGTATTCCCATATATTCTCAAAACCGAAATTTCTGCGTCGATTAAAATATTTCTACACCGAACGCAGTACAATCTTCCGATAGAAAGGATATTCCTACTTAATGCAATCCAGCCTTCCTGCATTGTCAAATGTGAAATCTTACATAGCCTACATACTTCGGCATACATGAATCCCTTCTGACTTGTTCGTTCGTAAATTTCTTTCATGATAATTTTGCAAGATGTTTGTCTTTCAGTCCCTTTTGTCTTCGAAATACAAATTTATCCTGTTCCATATTTAATGTCTCTTTGTATGTAGAGCCATTTACAAAATGAAGGCGCTCTTCCTTGCAGCTTCAGAACTTGAGTAGTGTATTTTATGCTGATGCTCTGCTCGTCCTTCTCCTTGTGTAGGAAGTACTGATGTGCTCTGTGCTCTGCGAATTTGCAACGAACATTGAAAGGTAACTTGCCATACCCTTTCAAAGTTCAAAAGATGGCATTGTTCTTAGTCNTTAAATATATATATTAGTTAGATAGAATATTTTTGTTTTTAAAATATTGTAAACTGTAGGCTGAATAACAAGTGAGTGGAAAGTAACTGCACTCTGCGGGCCACCCCGTTCAGATCTCGATGCACAATTTTGCCAACACTTGGTTACCTGTTTCTGACAGTCAGTGGTACCGAGCGTCACTCTTCATTGTTTACTGCTTCCGTTCTGACTTTTGGGAAGTCTCGGATATGATCCTCGTCCACGAGGCGGCACATTTCCGACTTTTTAAGTGATTTTCTTACTTAGTCCAGGAAAATACTAGGACAATGCCGTAAAATAGGCCACAGCCACTAATTTTCCTATCCTTTCCAATTCCCCAATTCGCAATGGCAGATAAGAAAATATTGTCAAATGAAGACAGGAACAAAGCAACCACAAGATCATCTCTTAACTTGCTTAGTATCGCAACAGTAACACAACACTGTACAGGAAAGCTTAAGCTTAAAGTATTTCTCAGATAATTCATATCCCTGATTATATTCATGTTTAGTTTTCATTTGAGTGAATGCCCGGAAGTAATATACGGTAAACACAATTGTGTCATGCACATAATGTAGTAGCTCAGTCGGTATATGGCTAGACTACGGGCTTGATGACCGACGTATCGAGGTTAGGCTGCCTACAGGGGCTCTATAGCCTCCAGGCCGCCTTTGAGGCCCACCCAGCCTCCTATACAATGGGCGCAGTGTCTGCTTTCCGTGCGTACAGTGGCAGGGGCGTGGAGCTGACCACTCACCTCCTTATATTTTCAGGGAGTATTTCTTGATCAATTAAGTACAGGGATAACTTTACTTATACCTTTATGTGTTATACATTAAACGTATACCATAAAGGCCTACACTGACACAAATTTTGGGAGCAGGTCCCGCCAGTGCTTCGTTGCATGCTACCATCGCCTTTTCCGTCTAACCGCAAGCAATTTTCCGAGGAGTATGTGCCATCATATTTCTTTTAACTCAAGCAGACACGATCAAGTCATCAGGCTTAGCACCATGCGTAACCGTTACACTTTCAACAGTCATGGTAAAAAGGTAGTGCTATACCTCTAACAGACTGTCAAGATCCATACTGTTGTGAGACGTCGAGGCTCCCACATTTTCTCTAGATAGTCGGTTTACAGATGGCGATGAGGTTCCCAGCCTTACGCGCCGGCCGCTCTTTAACCGAAGAAGGATTCTTGATACTCATTTCTGTCAGAGGCTGAGTCGACCCCAGGGCCACAGTGCAGCTGGAATGGTCAGGTCAATTGAAAAATCCTATGACCTCATCGGGAATCGAACCCGCGTCCTTCCAACTTTTAGCATAGTACCTCAATCACCTACGCTACCGCTTGCCTCCTTCAGCAGTAATGATTTTAAAAAAATGGAATGGAAAATGCGTTGAACATTAATCAGCGGGATAATTGGATAATTAATAACACTTCACCAGGTTTGTTGTTAGACACGAGGCTGTACCGTTCGACTTAATTGACAATTTAACATAAGATTTGAGGTCCTCACTTGCATGGCTATGAAGACTACAGTCTTCATGGATGTAGTTTCGCAGATAGGTATCAACATTTCGGAATAACATTTTATGTTTATTTTCCTGAAGATAGAGGTACAGTTTTCACCCGAAACGTTAGAAACCACAACAAACTACATCACATCACAGAAGACTGTAATCGTCGTCCTTATGAACAATTTGTCTTCGTTATGTTTTACGTGTATGTTGTTATCCCATACCACACTCAAATCTATAAAGTGACAATGTCCTACATAATTCTGAATCCTCAGTAAATTAAAGAGGTTCTTTTTATATATAACGTAAATAAAGGTTTCTAGAGGAACTTTCTTCCCACTCAGGGCATGGATGTTTGTGTGCTTTTTTCTGTGTTTGTGTACAGTTAGAGGCCTTGCGACGAGCTGATCACTCGCCCAAGAAGTCCTACCGAATGTGTAAGATCTAGAAAAACAGAAGTGAACGGAGAAGTTCATGGAGGTAGGCCTAGGCCCACTGGGGCTGTAGTGCCAAGGGGGAAAAAAGGAGGGGGGAACTTTCTTCTTCATCTCGGATACCCATCAGTTCAAATAAAATACCTTTATACGTAACTATTTCAGAAATACTGTACAAAATTTTCAACATCATACAGATATAAAGTACTTAGAGTGTTGTCACTTTACTTGGTACTGAAGTGTTAACTAGACATTTATAATTGCCAGTGCCCTTATTAAATGATAACGTCAAGAATTATACCGGTTGGGAAATGTTAAACATGTAATTAAATATTTAATTGCATTCATGAGGGAAGTCGAAAGGTGAAGGCTCTCTTACTTTTCCACAAACCTGATGCTAGTAGCACTGATGAAGTTGTGGATCTATACATCCACTCCCCCATACGCGTTCATGGCGTCGTGCTTAGTTACTTAAACACAGGGACAACTTTATAGTCATATTCAAACATGGATCCATATTAAAGAACAAGTTCAGCACCTAAGCACAAACAGTACACCTGATGGTGTTTCAGCAAGGGTCGAAACATGTCGTGTCCTTAAGATTTTAAGATATAAATGTAAGTAGTCTATATTTATACATTTTATAAGAAATTGCTGTGTAGACGATTGTAAAAATACTCGATGTGTAGTACATTTTTGCTATAAAGAAAAACAGTTTATGATCTTTAGGGGTAAAAATCTCTGTTCATTGTAAGATTCTTACGAAACACAGATACACTCTATCGGCATGATTTGGGGTTTTAGAGAGTCAAAGCAGGTGGTACATAAAAAAACACTACATTTTAAAGGTTTAAAATTCTAAATTTGAAAATTGTTAAAATTTGTTAAATTCTAAAGCCCTTTAAATAATTAAGGTATAGTGTGTCTAAACATAATTTGTGCTGACTGAAATAAATGCAGAATAGGTGTAATCGTTCGTTGTAACAGTAAGAACTTACCGAGGATATAATTGCATTCCTGTTCACAGGTGGCAGGTATGAGCCAGTGCTGCTGGACAATGCCTATAAAGTACATATGAAGCTGACCATCCGGTCCGTGGGTCCGACGGACTTCGGTCCGTACAAATGCGTCTCCAAGAATTCCCTGGGAGACACGGACGGCAGTATAAAGCTTTACCGTAAGTATGAATACGAATTGCAGTACTTTGTGAGCGCCCGATTTCAATGACGCGGGCACAGCGGGGGGAAAGCTATGATGAGGTATTTATAACAGATAGGAATGTTTCTGCGGGTGGACTGAAAAGGTCAAATCATAATTTATTGGTGATTATTTAAAAATAAGTTGTTTGTACGTGAAATGCTATTTCTACTAACAACTTTGATGGAATATTTTCTGTAGATATACTCAATCAAAGACCCTGTGCTTAGTTAATTAAGCATTCTGTCATGAAGACACGTGTGGGGGAGTGGAGGTATAACCCCACCGTTTATTGTTGCTAGATGGAGGAGAATGGCCAGCTTCATGTCCCGGCCGCTTTATCCACAGGGAGAAAGCCCCTGTTACCCATTGGCTAGGAGGCTGGCTAGGCATCAAAGCCGGTCTAGAAATTACATAGTAGAGAAGAAGCCTTTTCCTTGCTGGAAATCGAAGCCAGGGCTTTCAGCACGTATCCTGTCGTTGTATAGACTGATCTGTCCCAGCTCCTAAATTTACTCCATGCATACAGAAAATATATAAAAATATAAGGTGACCTTCTTGTAAGGTGAGATTTTGTACATTTTGATTTGGGCCAGACCTCCATTTAATACAGCTCTTAAACTGTAGTATTTCATTTATAGACTCTTAAATATCAAATTTCATTAAAACAGAATTGAACGGACAGAACGATATAAACACCACTTATATAAGAAATACGCCTAACACTTCGAAGCTCTTCTGATGTGATTCTGTAAGCCTCAGAGAACTGATCTGTTAGTTATTGGATTAAGCTTAGTTCGGTCACTCTTTGAGCTGCATAATTCAATTAGTATCGAATGGAAAGTTGATTGTTTGAAGGAAGACTTAGAAAGAACGTGGAAGCTACCATGGTACATTTTAAGGTGTTGTCACGTGTAGGGGTGACTATAGACGGGTTTCGGATTGGATGATTGGATTTATTCACACCTTATACAAGCAACTCGAGACTACAGGCAATTAAAACGTTATTGCTGATCTACATACTTTACAGTTCATCTTTACACATACACTAGGTTTCTCAGTCTTCACTAGTCGTATCCTGGCAACGGATTCATTACAGTCTCAAACGACACATGAAGACTTTTCGCAGTATAATTCCTTTATTGCCATTCTTCTGCAACTGCCAATTCCGGAAACTCGACTCAATTCAATTGTTCTGTTCCCAGGCTGATGTCCTGGCCGCCTGGCGTCTCGAAACTCGCCCCTTGACTCAACTGAAATTTCTTTATAAGAACTTTGCAAGGGCCACGCAGAAAATACAGTCTCTCTATTGTTGCGAAGGCGTATTTAAAGCGTCATTGTATAGCAACGGAAGTTACTCGATTGTTGCTTGCATATTCGTTAATGCCGAATTTTTTGTTTACCGAGTCGTTGGCTAGCAATGAACATCTATTCTGACTTCATTATTCCGGTTTCCGGGTGTCACGTCACAGTATTATATCGGAATTTTCCTATATGGTCTGCGGAATATCACGAAGAAGTCAGTAAGGTTCAAACCTGGGCTATCCTGAGTAACAAGCTGAAGCACTGACAACAAGACTACGGTGCATACTTGCAGTCAGAAATTATTTGAGAATGTTTGCTCCATTATAAAAGCGGATATTTCAGAAATTTCAAGGTAGATAGTTTGGCCTACGCCGAAGTGTGACACGTGCCACTTCATATTCTGTAAGTCAGATATAATCCAGCGAAACAGAGCAGCCATCAACCCACGAATTTGGAACGAAATATTTAATCATTTCCCATAACGCCTAGAGTTCGGCGAGTTGGTTTATCTCTTCTGTTGACGGTGAGAATTTCGTGCTGTCAGTGATTTGTCTTAGTTCGCTGGACGTTGCATGTATGTGACTGCGAACAGTGTTACTGTGTCCCTTGTGCTGTTGTGTCCACGCACTGGACAAATCCATCTAGTGCACACTGCGTTTCAAACCTCTCCCTAACGGGACTGCATGCAATATTGCTGCTAGCCGGACATAGAGTCACGTTCAAAGCTATACCCAAGGGGTATGGGGTGTGGGGGAGGCCGTTGCTGTTGTTCAGATGATGTGACAATTGCACCATCATTCTACAATAGCTTATGCTCTCCATTATTCTGGAATGTACACAAGCTTCGAGCTCTTGAATTATTGGTTCGCACACACGTCCTATTGACCTTCGTACTTTTAGCTGCTTCCATTCGTATCAGAGATATTACATAGACGTGTACTTCCGCCCATTTAACTAGTTAACTGACTTTATAATTCCAAGGAATAGAGTACAACCGTTCAGCTGATCAAGAAATTCCCCGCATTTTCTATGGCTGGAAAGCTCATTAGTGTCTAAGACAGGGCTCACCACTGGTCGATATCCCGAGCTAGATAAATCCAGTCCACTCATTCATGTGCTTTTTATTTAGACAACTTTCACGTTCGCCCTTCTACTTTTTGGTCTTCCAAGGGAACGCTGCCCTTCAAAGTTTCCTGGTACAATTCTCTATGCATTTCTCAGCTCTCCGTTGCGTACTACATGTCTCGTCCATCACATATGCACCGATTTGGTCACCCTAATAATATTGACTAATGATTGCGTGTTATGAAGCATTGTTATGCAGTTATCTCTTGCAACTTTTCCAAATAATTTTCCCCAAACCCTATGTTATTCGCTTTACATCAAACACTATAAGTTTCAGACCCCTAAAACACGACAGGTACAGTTTCGACGCATTTGGTCTAAGCCAGCGAAAACAACGCTTCTCGTTCTCCGAGAAGTGTATTTGCATGATTACGTACAATTTAATATAATAACACGCATCTATGGAAGGTTGTGATTTCGAAACATTACGTTGCATTCAGCTGGCAGTCAGGTCCAGCAGTGGACCGCGTCACATAGAGTGAGGAACATATGTAAATATACGAATGTTATAGTTCAAGATATTATTTTTTTCCTGTGGCGCTACAGCCCCAATTTGGGACTAGGCCTGCCTCCATGAAACTCTCCGTTTCACTTCGGTTTACTAGATCTTACACATTCGGTAGGACTCCTTGGGCGAGTGATCAGCTCGTCGCAAGGCCTCTACCTGTAGACAAACACAGAAAAGCGCACACAAACATCCATGCCCTGAGTAGGATTCGAATCCACGATCCCGGCTTCCGAGCAAGCGAAGACAGTGCATGCCTTAGACCGCTCGGCTACCGTGACCGGCTTAAGATATTATAGACTGTGCATATTTAAAGCATTCAATCTGGAATGACGTGTCGATGAAAATCGGAAAATATTCTGAACCTTGTTATGATGACCTGCCTAAACCTCTTATCCAAGCAATTTCTTACAGAGAAGAACCGTGAATTAACCTCAGGCAACATAAACGATATTCCAGTCAATATTCGGGCCGAGTACCTGTTAACCCGACAGCCTCTGTGGTCTAGTGGTCAGAGTTCCCGGCTACAGACCCAGAGGTCCCGGGTTTGATTCCCGGCGCTACAAGATTGTCTGAGAAGTAGTGGATCTGGAATGGGATCCACTCAGCCTCGTGAGGATAATTGACGATTTCTTTCGAGGAAATAGCGGCTCCGGTCTAGGAACCGAGATTAACGGCCGTGGGGATTCATTGTGCTGACCACGCGACACCCTCTGTCCGCAAAATTTGGCGCTAACTTCGCCGACAAGCGGCGGTCGCTCGGTCGGTATAGTTCGTTTGCGGACTACAGGCCACGGAGTTTTGTTTTTATTTACCTGTGAACCAAAGTGAGACGCTTCACTGCTCATGTAACCTGTTTATTATGTTTAAAAATATAAATACGTTTCCAAAGAGGTAATATGGAAAATTTTTATGTCGTATAAGATTTTAGTCGGAAGCCTCAATGGTGAGAGGTCTCTTGAGAGATCTAGTCGCACATGAGAAGATAATATTAAAACGGATCAAGTAAATAGATTGTGAAGAATGGAGTCGACTCATGTGACTCAGGATGGGGTCTAGGGTTGGTATCTTCCAAATATGTAATGAAATCTCGGGTTTCATAAAATGCGGGAAATGTCTTGAGCAACCGGACTGCTGTTGGCTTCTGATGGACTTTGTTACATGAATCTGGGCACTTAGTTGCACATTATGATGAAGTAAAACACAGTAATGCGGATTAGTCCTGTTTTGTGTTGTGAACTAACTTTCCATGACAATTTTTTGCTGAAAGGAGGTGCGTATTTCCTTCTTTCATATTTGTATCTTATTGGATGAAATATGATCTTGGATAAAATGAAACATAATAGGATCACCGCGCCTAATGGCCAGCTACTACTTGGCTTTTAAAGAGAAAATAAAAAATTGTATGAAAGGGTGGGAACTGCTGCATGGTGTCGCGCGGGGAATTCACGGTGTGTCCAGGGCTAATGGATTTAGAGTGATGAAGCAGGATGCTCCTTTTGAAGAAGAACAGGGGAGAGAAGGAAAGGGGATTCATTTGTATGCTGAACAGGTTGCCTAAAAACTCGGCTCACAGTCCCAGCGCTGTTTCTGGAGACCAACACATTTGATTCACAAAATCGCAGTATCATATTTTCATTCGAAAGATTTGAGGTTTTCGGGCGCTGACTAGGAAGAATGCCATCTTCTAGGACGTGGCGCCGTGTAGGTCTTGTGTGAACAGACGTTTCAGAGGAACGTACCGCCTCCATCTTCAGGGTAGATTCTTCATAGTCACAGCTGTGAACATCTCAAATCCTACATAATGTTTCTCTATGGGGAGGCTACTCATCGACACACTCGACGGCTCGAGACGTTACGAACCAAGAAGACCAAGCTACTGTTTGCTCTGCCCTTCCTTCTTTGATCCAGGAACCATAGCACCATACCTCGTTTCCTCTAACCTGAAGATGGAGGCGCTACGAACCAAAAAGACCGAGTTACTCCTTACTCTTCCCTTCCTTCTTAGATGCAGGAACCATAGCACCATCCCTCGTTTCCTCTAC